GAGGGGATCGAGCGTTTTCTGTTGCAGCTCCAAAACTTTGGATTGGATTGCTGCTGCACATTAGAAAGGCCACCTCTCTGTCTCATTTTAAAACTCTTCTTAAAGCCCACCTCTTTTCTTTGGCTTTTGACTCCATGTAGAGTGTTGATTTTATGCATACACATGCATATTTTTATCCTGTGCGGGCAGTGCTTTTATTTTATTTTATTTACTTTTATTTATTTTATCTTTTTTGTGCAGCACTTTGGAAACCTTGTGTTTATTTAAATTGTGCTATATAAATAAAGTGGATTGGATTGAATTAAACACAGATCAATAAAATCTGCATTACTGAAAATAAGCAAAGAAAAAAAAAAAACATTCTTCTTTCTACTTTAGTGATTTTCACTTTATTTCTGATAATTTCCCCCTCGGTTACTGCAGCTCAGGGCGTCAAAGAAGATTTAAATTCATATATAGAGAGAAGCTACATAAATGCCTTGTAATTTCATGCCAATCCAGACCTAAATTAATGAATATGCCAACTAAAATGTAGAAATATTTAAAGGAACAGAGAAAATGTTTTAATAACTATACGAGGATTCGGATCAGATCCAGTCCGTGTTTTGCTGTGTGGAGAGCAGCGGAGGTGAGGGACCTGCGCCACATATCGAAAAAAGACCAGGATTTCCTAGCATTTATTACGACGTATTCCATTTGAAATTTTATCTTATCTTATCCGGACTAAGATCATCACTTTGTAAATTAATGAAGATTTGAAGCAAAGTACTTGAGTAAATATGAATAAACTATAAACTATAGAGCTGTTTTCTTTTTTATCAAGCTTTAATCCTTGCTCTAGTTTAGCCTCCTGATTTAGTCCCAGTTTTAGTCTATGTTTACCTCACAAGTAAAATAATTATTTCTCAGTTTCGTTGGAATTTAGGACTAATTAAACCAACAATAAACTAAACAAAATTCTTAAAGCTTTCAGATGTGATTTAAAAACCCATAGGAGATCCACAACAGAAAAGAACCATCGCATTTTATTTCTCAAAAGTTCAGCCAAGAAAAGACCGACCACATTCAGAGAGGATGTGCAGAAAGACTCAGTTATCCAGGATTGATAGAGGAGGAACCAGAGGGATTTATTACGGTCCATTAAATTATTTTGGATTTATCACTTTATTTAGGCCCCGTCCACACGAAGTCAAAACGAACACGAAACGCTAATATTTTCCAGAACGTTTGTCGTAAAGACGGAGACGTAAAATAAATGTGATCGTCCACACGAATGCATGAAAACGCTGCAAAATGTATGCCAGGCCTGTAAGTGGCGCTGTGGTGCCGAAGCAAAAATAGACGACGAAATGTTGGGCATGCGCACTAATATTTATACATGGTTGCCCTGCGGGTCCATTTTGGTGGTTCAGTCAAATTCAGGTGCTGAACTATGTGGTCGATATTGCTCTGTTCTTCCTGGAGATATTCCAGAAGAAGAAGATTCTGTTGTAAGCCAGACAGCAGGGTGAGTAGCATTAGCAGCAACCATTCAACACAGTACGGCGCCATTGTTGTTGTGATACTGTGTCGCGCATGCGTGTTTAGAGGCGACGCTATGACGCATGCGTGTAAGAAAAAAAAATGCGGTTAGAGCTTAAAGATGGAAACGCGAAAACGGCGTTTCAAAATCTTCCCACTCTGAAGGCTGAATAAAAAAAAGATCGTTTACAGACCCCCGAAACGCCGGCTTCGTATGGATGAGAGGCTGGTTTGGTGAAAAATTTGTGCGTTTAGGCCAGGGTTTGACTTCGTGTGGACGGGACCTCAGATTTAGTTTACATACGCATATATATACATACATATATACAGCAAAGCTATATGTGTATATATTTTATCTCTTTTTATTCTTATTTTTTGTCTTTATTATACTGTGTAGTTGGATGTATGTATATATATATATATAAAACTAACTGGAGCGTGTAACTAAAGTAATTTTCCTCTGGGATTATTAAAGTATTTCTGATTCTGATTCTGAAAAATTTTTAAAAACTTAATTTATATCACATCTACCAAAATGAAACATCAACAGAAATACTGTCTTGTGTCACGGTGAGTTTTTATAGAATCTACAGCCTCTTAGAAGCTCTAAATTGTCAATTGAAAACATGTAATAAGATAATGAGTTAAGATTTTTAATCCTTAGCCTATTACCAAATATTCATACACAGTTTAGTTTGAACTGGTTCCTGTATTAGTGCCATTAATCCAGTAATAACTCATTTATTTTGCATTTATTTTACTTGAGCTGCATAGAATTTTTAATAAACACAGTTGTGAAATTATTAGTTTACAGCAGATGCAGGTATTTTAGTAGAGCCCATACTTTTAGTTCAATTCTCTAAAAATAACCGGAATATAGAAAATAATGCAAATGGTGTGAAAATGTTCCAGATAACGATGGATCACTTATTTTTATTCAGTAACATTTTATGCGCTTTAAAAAACTCCACATTTTGCCACCTCCATCCTATAGCCGCACCATCCTCAGAGCCTTTCAGGGCTGCATGTCCAAACTATTTCTGAATCTCACTGCAAGGTTTGGTGAAAAGTTGGCAGCCGTGGAAATGTCATTTTTTTCTGTTTCCTCTAAAGTTTAACTAAATTTTCCTAGAAAATCATTTTCAGAAAATAAAGTCATGGAAAAGAGGCAAAGCCTTCAGGCTGGAAGGACATTTCAGGGAATTTATTGACTTTTGTGTGATGTTCTAATAAAAAGTGTTACCCAACAGACCTTACCTTTTTATTTGCTATTAGCTTTTATTAGTTAACAAAGTCCCTTTTAATTTGTTGTCATAAAACCCTCAATGGAAAACTAATGACAAAAGAATCCAATTTACTTCAAAATACTTTTCACATTTCTGAAAATGAGTTTTCTTGTGTTTTTCCATCCAGCAGTTTTTAACAGCTGACAGTCTGTAAAAGTTCCTCCCTAACGCTGGACGGCCCAGACACAGGAAAAAACATCCGGCTACGCCGCCGCCACAAAAACACGTCAACGACCCCAAATCATTAGTCAAACGACTCTTTCCTCCAGCAAAGTGTCAGAGCTTCACCTAAACAACGAGCTTTAAGCTGAACGGCAGAATATCAAAAGTTTGCATTTATGCCTTTAGTGATTCAGGCAATCAGAGGAAGGATGAAAATGCGGGCAGGTGTGCAGGTAGGTGCAGCGCGTGTCTGCAGGTGTGCAGGTGGGTGCAGCGCTTGTCTGCAGGTGGGTGCATCGCATGTTTGCAGGTGTGCAGGTGGGTGCAGCGCATATCTGCAGGTGTGCAGGTGGGTGCAGCGCTTGTCTGCAGGTGTGCAGGTGGGTGCAGCTTATGTCTGCAGGCGTGCAGGTGGGTGCAGCGCATATCTGCAGGTGTGCAGGTGGGTGCAGCGCTTGTCTGCAGGTGTGCAGGTGGGTGCAGCGCATATCTGCAGGTGTGCAGGTGGGTGCAGCGCGTCTGCAGGTGTGCAGGTGGGTGCAGCTTATGTCTGCAGGCGTGCAGGTGGGTGCAGCGCATGTCTGCAGGTGTGCAGGTGGGTGCAGCGCATATCTGGAGGTGTGCAGGTGGGTGCAGCGCGTCTGCAGGTGTGCGGGTGGGTGCAGCGCGTGTCTACAGGTGTGCAGGTGGGTGCAGCGCGTCTGCAGGTGTGCAGGTGGGTGCAGCTTATGTCTGCAGGTGTGCAGGTGGGTGCAGCGCATGTCTGCAGGTGTGCAGGTGGGTGCAGCGCATGTCTGCAGGTGTGCAGGTGGGTGCAGCGCATATCTGGAGGTGTGCAGGTGGGTGCAGCGCGTCTGCAGGTGTGCGGGTGGGTGCAGCGCGTGTCTACAGGTGTGCAGGTGGGTGCAGCACATGTCTACAGGTGTGCAGGTGGGTGCAGCGCGTGTCTACAGGTGTGCAGGTGGGTGCAGCGCATGTCTGCAGGTATGCAGGTGGGTGCAGCACATGTCTGCAGGTGGGTGCAGCGCATGTCTACAGGTGTGCAGGTGGGTGCAGCGCATGTCTGCAGGTGTGCAGGTGGGTGCAGCGTGTGTCTGCAGGTGTGCAGGTGGGTGCAGCGCATGTCTGCAGGTGTGCAGGTGGGTGCAGCGCATGTCTGCAGGTGTGCAGGTGGGTGCAGCGTGTGTCTGCAGGTGTGCAGGTGGGTGCAGCGCATGTCTGCAGGGTTGCAGGTGGGTGCAGCGCATGTCTGCAGGTGTGCAGGTGGGTGCAGCGTGTGTCTGCAGGTGTGCAGGTGGGTGCAGCGCATGTCTGCAGGTGTGCAGGTGGGTGCAGCGTGTGTCTGCAGGTGTGCAGGTGGGTGCAGCGCATGTCTGCAGGTATGCAGGTGGGTGCAGCACATGTCTGCAGGTGGGTGCAGCGCATGTCTACAGGTGTGCAGGTGGGTGCAGCGCATGTCTGCAGGTGTGCAGGTGGGTGCAGCGCATGTCTGCAGGTGTGCAGGTGGGTGCAGCGTGTGTCTGCAGGTGTGCAGGTGGGTGCAGCGCATGTCTGCAGGTGTGCAGGTGGGTGCAGCGCATGTCTGCAGGTGTGCAGGTGGGTGCAGCGCATGTCTGCAGGTGTGCAGGTGGGTGCAGCGCATGTCTGCAGGTGTGCAGGTGGGTGCAGCGTGTGTCTGCAGGTGTGCAGGTGGGTGCAGCGTGTGTCTGCAGGTGTGCAGGTGGGTGCAGCGCATGTCTACAGGTGTGCAGGTGGGTGCAGCGTGTGTCTGCAGGTGTGCAGGTGGGTGCAGCGCATGTCTGCAGGTGTGCAGGTGGGTGCAGCGTGTGTCTGCAGGTGTGCAGGTGGGTGCAGCGCATGTCTGCAGGGTTGCAGGTGGGTGCAGCGCATGTCTGCAGGTGTGCAGGTGGGTGCAGCGTGTGTCTGCAGGTGTGCAGGTGGGTGCAGCGTGTGTCTGCAGGTGTGCAGGTGGGTGCAGCGCATATCTGCAGGTGTGCAGGTGGGTGCAGCGCATGTCTGCAGGATGCTTACCGAACTCGCTGGCACACATGTGCTCCAGCATGGTGTCTGTTTTCATTTCGTTGTCACATGGAGGACAGATGGGAGAGTAACCTACGAAGGGAAACAAAAATAGAAATACAAATTAGGATTAGTCAGAAATCAGCAGGAAGAATAAAACCTAAAAAAACTGAAACTAGTTCTATTGGGTTCCAGATTTTTTCTCCTGTAGCTGATGTCAGGAACTTTGTTTCTGGTGATCTGGAAAATGTTCTCAGCTTTTACAGATAGAGTAACTTAGAGCAGTAAACTCTCCTCTTCACTTTCTAAACAGCTTTAATAACAGATCTGCTTAAGCCGGGCATTCACTGTGGGATATTTTCAATCATTACACGCAGCTACAGCTCAAACTGTACGACTGTTCTATGAGCCCCAATGCAGCCTGGTTAAAAGCCATAGAATGAATGTTATGGTTTGATCATGAATATTTAGATGAGCTGTGCTCTGATTGGTCGGTTTACAACGATCCAAGCTGCTGAGCAAAGAAGCATCATAGCAACAAGCACTCACTCACTGAAACATCAGATTGTTGATATGGTAGGGGGACCAGACGTCCTCTTTTTCCAGGACATGTCCTACTTTCAGACCTAAAAAAATGTCCGGGGGGAATTTCAACATCGTCTAGGATTTTGGTTGCCTACAGTGAAGCAGAACCGTCAGCTCCGGGGCTGGTACAGTGCAGGGAGCCAGCGAGGGACAAAACGACTGAACCCGACCCTGTGAGGGTAGCCTGGACACCGGCGGCCCCATGCTTTCCCCCGCCCGTCCTCAGTCAGAGGACGGGCAGCTCATGGCTCTCTGCTGAAGTCCTCCCTCGGGCCGCGAACCAGTGGGCTCGTCTGGATGTCAATTTCGGGGCGTGACAAGAGTCGAGGCCAGAACCAAACAAGGCAACATCTCCGAGTTTACGTCAACTCTTTGCTTCGTTTGGATTTGTCCGTTTTATGGTGGAAGTTTAGAATAGTGAGATTTGCAGAGAAAGGAGGAGTTGATGGAGTTTGAACTTCTCTGTACGTCTATTTCATCCACTGAACTATCGTTATTCATCAATAACAACGAAAACTCAGTTTGCATTCTATGACCCCTTTAAAAGAAATAATAAATAGTATTGATATTCAGTTCCAGCTTATTGGAATGGATGTACGTTCGCTGGTTCATGGAGAACAAGCTTCATTGTGGAGGCTGAGGGTCGGCAATTCCAGTTCCTGAAGGCCGGCAACATTTCCATCCATCCTAGGTCCCAAACACCTGAATGAAATGGCTGAGTTACCTCCTTGGTATGCAGTCAGTTCCTCCAGAGACTTCCTAAGCATCTAATTATTTGGTTCAGGTGTGTTGAACCAAAGGAGCATCTAAAAGTTGCCCTCCCCTTGTGTAGGCCAATGCTTTACCGCCACCGTTTCATCGTCATAATACTGAAAACCGTCCCTCTGTGCCAAACAGCTGACTCTACTTTTCATTACTTAAAGCTTTTATAATCTGTCAGAGGATTCCTGCAGCTCTGATTTAAACAGAACCTGGCCTGCCGGGTCGACCCGATCAATCAGCCACATAGAGCAGGTAAGGCGGAGACCAGCAGCCTTCAAATAGCTGCCAGCTGTTCCATACGTGTCTTTAACATCAGCTTGTGAAAGTAGCACCCAGGTGCTAAACAGTTTGGAAAAAAGGCCCCTGCTTCCAGAGTCAGCAGGTCTTTGCTGGTAGGGGCCCTTTAAATCCATTAGCAGCAGTCTGCAGGGGGAGCTGACCTCTGTTAACATTTGCTAACAGCCAACCAACACCACTCTGCATTTGTTCTTTCTTTATCAGCCTCTTTGCTAATGATGTTAACAGAAAAGCTGGTAGGAAATCACTGATTTCATTTATCGCTAAAGTTGACAAATGATTGCAGGCGGCGTCTAGAAGGACAGAGCATGTGTGGTCCCCGCTCTCACCCTCAGAAGGCAAAAAAAACAACTTCCCTCTCAGCCACTGCTCTTTAAATGCAAAACGCTCCCCTACAGATACAGTGGGAGTCCCCCCCTCCCCCGTTTATGCCTTCTGCTCAGTTCAAACATCTCTGAAGGCTCTATTTACAGCTTCAGATGGCAGTTTGCAGGCTGACGATGTGATGATGGAGGCCTCTCACTCCGCAGCTTCCTATGAATGACTCGGTTGTGCTTTCTCCATCCCTTATGTGCAGATGTTGAAAGGGACAAGCGTGGATGCCCAGACCAGACCAGAGGTATTTAGAGCCCATCAGATATTATAGCATTGGACCCTGCAGACGTGAGTTAATCCAACCGGTTGGGAAACCGCATGCAGTCTGGATTACAGTCCACATTATTCACACCGGGCGTCTTTCAGCTTTTCATCTCTCATCAGATTAAACGTGTTTGTCAGAGAGCAGAAGTAATGGATGCAGGTACTGCCTATTTCTTCGTTTTTATTCTTCTGCGGCTGGATTTCCTCCCGGCTTTGTCCTCCAAACTCAGCAAACACCTTAAATGACTCCCATCTGGAGTTTTTCTCCCTCCATATTTTGTGATCATTCAAAGTCAGCAGCAGGGAACTTTGCATTCACACTAAAGTGAGTGTTTAGGTAGCAGATTATAATGAAAATAAACCATTCACCTTTAGTTTCAGCTGTGCTGGGGGGTGGGTTAAATGAGACCAGATTTGGCTTTTCACAGTTCTCAATGTTCGTCCCCAAAAGGTCCTATTTGGTTTCTTTGTGCAGGGATTTGCATGTGCAAACAGCCCTTTACCACTGAAACAACATTCTCCAGCCAATTTAAGGGCGTTACAAGAGCTATCAGGGTGTTGACTTTTACACACTGCCAGAAGTTTTTGCTATTAGATAAGAAGCTTAAGCATAAAACCTAATACATGCTTTTTTCCCCTAAAGAGTAAATCCTACCTTGATTTAATAAATAGAGCCTAAAAAATAAATTCTGACTTATTTTGAAGTTGTTCCATATTTTCCAAAGGTCATTTAGGATGAATGTTTTCTGTTGTTTTGGTAAAACACGCCTCGTTTTAACGCTGCAATAAACAATAAACACAAGGACATTTAAATACATCATGTAACTGATGTAAAATCCTGCATGTTAAATAAATATTAAAACAAACATTTTCCTTCTTTTTTCTCTCCTTCCTGCAGAGGAGAATTTTAATTTACCCAACTTTATGAAAGTCCATTAAAACACTTTGATTTCAGCCCTCATCCACACAGGCCTAAAAAGTGCAAACACAACTTATCTTCACTGCATTTGCACTTTTTTCACCACTTTTCCTTTTCCTTAAGTTATTTATAGTTAAAGTTCCTTAAAGCAAAGACTGTTTTAAGCAGGAAAAAGCTCATATTTAACAGCATTATTCTGCTTATAGGTGAAACTTTTTTAATCCTTACAGAGTTGCAGAAATAAAGCCAAATCCTCCCCCAACTAGCCCTAAAACTTTATTAGTTTTTTTATTCGTAATCAACCATGTTATGACGTAATAAAAATGCAAACCTGAACCTTTTTAAATATGCAGATATGCATTATTTTATAATCACAGAAAGGCATTAATCAGTGATCATTTTAATGCTTATAAAAGTCCTAATAATCAAATATCTAGTGAATAATTTACAGCAGAAAAATCAAACATAAAATATCGATTTATTCATCTGGTTTTTAAATTCATTTTGGAATAACAGCATAAATAAAGAGTTTTATCATTTTATATTTTATTTTTCTTAAACTGCAAGTGATGGATGTTAAACTCCATCTTCAGTTTTCATTAAATACCTGATTTTATTTTGTTATTTTTGGTCATGCTTCTCCTCAGCTGTCACCCTCCTTACCTGCAGACTCCGGGCTCTCGGTGGCGTTGGGCGTCATGGAAATGCAAACATCATGATCGGGGAACTTGTCGCATGTGAGCATCTCCGGCCACGGGTAGCCGAACGCCTCCATGATGGGGGTGCAGCCGTCCCGCACCGCCTCGCACAGCCTGCGGCAGGGGAAGATGGGCCGATCCAGGCACACGGGCGCAAAGAGCGAGCAGAGGAAGACCTGCGTGCCCGGGTGGCACCTCTTGTGCACCAGCGGCACCCAGCTGCTGGCCTGCTGCTTCACCTCCGCCATGGTTTCGTGCTCCAGCAGGTTGGGCAGCAGCATCTGGGGGTAACCCACGCCGTAGCAGAGCCGCAGGTCCTCGGGGATCGCCAAGCACTGGGGGGTCTTCCCGTAGATGGGCCCGGTGTTGTACCTGGGTGGATCCCATTCCATGAAGTCGTACTCCTGTGCGCCGTAGGCCGACATGAGCGCCACGGTCCAAAGCATCCGGATCATCCTCCAGAGCAGAAGAGGAAGCGGGCTCATGGCTCGGTGTGATCGGGAAGCTGTGGGAGGATGCGGCGCGCGGAGCTCCTCGCTCTGCTGTCCTGCTTCTGCTTCAGGCTGCAGCCAAAGTTGGAGGAGCTTCAGCGGCCTGGAAACAAGAGAGGATTGGAAAGCGCGCTACGACCAATCACAGCGCGTCTGCGCCTTTTGGCTCTGCTGTCAGTCACAGACTTTAATTACCCCCCCATTTTAACTTTACATGACATCCAGGAAGATGAAACGACTTTTTAAAGTTTTTTCTTTAAAAGCTGTAGTGCAGCTTTGCGTTATGAAGAAGAAGCAGATCCACAGATCAAGCTCAGTCTGACTGTTTGGAGGTCATCGCTTTTAAAATGCAACATTTTAGCAGAATGTGGTTCTTCACTCTGTTGGAAGGCAGAGATTTAAGGTTTCACAGCTGATGTTTGGTGTTTTGGAGCCTCCAACATGTTTTATCTTCCCACCAGCTACCCTGGTTAAGATCATTATTTACCATTATTATGCAACTGCCCCATAAAACTCTGTTTTCATGTATGGTTAATAAAACTATTCCTTATTTCTGCACATTAATTATGTTTTGGATAAAAATCCATTCAGAAGCTGATAATATTAAAGGAATAGTACACCCAAAACATGATTAGCCTTCATTTTCTACTCACCCCCATGCTGAACAACACTCTGGAGTACTTTTTTGATATCTCAAATGCATCTGGAGATCTGGGAGGCTTCTTGCTGTCTGCTGACATTCAAATAATGGAGGTCTATGGCGCCCGAGGCAGAAAGGTCCATAAAAGTCCACAAAAAACGTGTCAATATTCCTCCATACTGCTCGTCCAATGTATTCCAAGTGTCCTGAGTGGGTAGCATCCAGAATTTACTCGAAACAAAGTCATTTAGAATGTTTTTAGAGCATAAACAGTAGTGTATAGGATTTCCTGAAAGCGCGCACATGCGCGCTCACGACGGCAGACCAAACCAGCACATTCAGCTCGGCAAAGAACTCATGCTCTTCCTCAACACTGAAGTCCTCAGACATTTTTCTTTCGTTGTTTCTTTCTTTGCACAGGTAAACAGCACATTTCTTCTTCTATGCTTGCATTATCGGCAGAGCAGACGCTGAATGCGCACTTTCATCTGGTTTGGTCTGCCGCGGTTTCCGTAGACTCATGAACGCGCTTTCAGGAAATCCTATACACTACTGTTTATGCTCTAAAAACATTCTAAATGACTTCGTTTCGAGTAAATTCTGGATGCTACCCACCCAGGACACTTGGATTACATTGGACGAGCAGTATGGAGGAATATTGACACGTTTTTTGTGGACTTTTATGGACCTTTCTGCCTCGGGCGCCATAGACCTCCATTATTTGAATGTCTGCAGACAGCAAGAAGCCTCCCAGATCTCCAGATGCATTTGAGATATCAAAAAAGTACTCCAGAGTGTTGTTCAGCATGGGGGTGAGTAGAAAATGAAGGCTAATCATGTTTTGGGTGTACTATTCCTTTAAGTGTGTCTCAGCCCCCCCCCTTCAGTGTCCTCCATATTGGATCAGTCCATTTGCTGCACATGTTCAGAAAGGTCCAAACAGACAGCAGCAAACCATTTGAAAACAAACCATGCAAAGAGCAGTGTTGCCAACTTAGCGCTTTAGTCGCTATATTTAGCCACTTTTCAGACCCCTCTAGCACTTTGATTTCTAAAAAGCTCCTAGCGCCAAATCTAGAGACTTTTTTCTGCTACTGGAGACTTTGGAGACAACATCTAAAAGCAGCGAACTCTGCTCTCCAGAGCGAGTAGATTGGTAACCCCGCCTCCTGCTCTCCTCTGTCTTGTCTGCTGTCATGATTCATGCAGCTATTATTTCATCCAAATGAAAAATGGAGAACAGAGAAGCAGATCATGGCTTGTCTACAGTGAAAAGAAGGACTGGGTTATTTACTTTGGCCTTTTTGGAAACACAGGAAGGAGCAATCAGCTAAGTGAGCTTAGTGCTTGGAAAAAATCTTTCATTCCTTTAGAGACAGCATGAAAAGTCAGCTGAGTACAAAACATAGAGAGGAAAACAGGAAGAAAAGGGACAAGAAGAGAGGGACACAACCTAGAACAGATAATGGATGTCTATTCTATTAACAGTTCTCTATGTTGGGTTCTCCATTCAAAGGGCCCCCTGCCTGTCTTTGCCGAGGGCCCCAAATGTCCTAAATCCGCCCCTGGTCATCTGTCCTGCATGATGCTGCTCTATCATGGTGCCTTCAGGGTCGTCTTTGTCCATGTTTGCTGTGTTCTTTGGGTCCCTCTACCCTGGCTTCTTTCTCCAGCGCTTCCAGTGAAGCCAGACTTTAGGAGTTCGCTGCTCATAGCTGTCCTGCTGAAAGATGATCTCCCCTGAACAGAAACACTGCTGGCTTTTTGCTGCTTTCTGAGTTCTGGATCTCCAAGCTTCACTTCGGACTGGAATCTGCAGACTGAGAATTTATTACTAATTGTAATATTCACGGAAGGTAACAGGTTTTTTCTGGTTTCGTGAGGAAATATGTAGCCTATATCCATAAATATTTCACAAGATTTATTCTTCAGTTAGATTTCCAGAATATATATATTGACGTTGTAAACAGGGGGTATGACTGGGACTATAACCAACTGTGAAATAACCTCTCACATGGTATTGGGGTGATTGGTGGGTGGAGTGGAAAAGGGGATGGGTATAGCAGGCCCGGACACGGGGGGGAGTGTTATAGGTGCCCCAGAGATTCCTACAAAAGGAATGAGGAACACGAGGACGGGATGGGGTGGGCGTGGTCAAGAAGGGGGAAAGAGAAAGAAAAGAGAGGTAGATAGGAAAGTGAGGGGAGGAACCCGGGTGAAATGCGGGGGGAGAAAGAAAGAGAAGGACCAGGACAAATAGGCGGATAAGGGGGAAGGAAGAGGAGAAACGAGGAGCTGAAGGCGAAGAGAAAATGGGAAAAACAAAAACGGGGAAGGTGCACATGGGGGCCGATGGGACGGCCGGCACCGAACTGAGGGCGCGCGCAACCAAGCTTTCTATTGCGCAAACATGCCCATCCCTCCTCCTTCGTTTTTTCCCTTCCTTCTCTTCTCTTCCGTTCTTTCTTCTTTTTCTCTCTTTCTTCTCATTCCCTTCCCTTTTTTCTTTTGTTCTTTCTTAGCGCTCCATGTATCTGGATTCAGTCTGTCACTGACAGATTCTAAAGCAGTCTATATTTTCCACCATGACTCCACTGAGCCGACGTCCAGAAAATCTCTCAGATTCTCTGTTAGATTCACATCTGGATATAATGTGGAGATGGAATCAAAACACAAACAGCTGGAGGAGTTTTTATAAAGCATCTTTAAAGCCAGAAACACTGTGATGCCCAAAGTTCCCAAACCTGGAAATAACAGGATGGATGGATGGATGGATGGATGATGGATGGATGGATGGATGGATGGATGGATGGATGGATGGAGGGATGGATGGATGGATGATGGATGCATGGATGGATGGATGGATGGATGATGGTGGATGGATGATGTGAATGATGGATGGATGGATGGATGGATGGTTGGGTTGGATGGATGGATGGATGGATGGATGGATGGATGGATGGAAACGGATGATGGATGGATGGATGATGGATGGATGGATGGATGGGATGGATGATGGATGATGGATGGATGGATGGATGGATGATGGATGGATGGAGGATGTATGGTTGATGGATGATGGATGATGGATGGATGGATGATGGATGGATGGATGGATGGTTGATGGATGGATGGATGATGGATGGATGATGGATGGATGGATGGAGATGGATGGATGGATGGATGGAAGGATGGATGGAATGGATGGATGATGGTGGATGGATGATGGATGGATGGATGCAGGGTGATGGATGATGGTCGGATGGATGGATGATGGGGATGGATGATGGATGGATGGATGGATGGATGGATGGATGGATGATGGATGGATGGATGATGGATGATGGATGATGATGGATGGATGGATGATGGATGGATGGATGGATGATGGATGGATGGATTGATGGATGAATGGATGCATGATGAGGTTGATGGATGGATGGATGGATGATGGGTGGATGGCATGATGGAATGGATGGCATGGATTGGATGCGATGGATGGATGGATGGGATGATGGGATGGATGGTTGATGGATGATGGATGATGGATGATGGATGATGATGGGATGGATGGATGATGGAGTGGATGATGGATGGATGGATGGATGGTTGGATGGGTGGATGGTTGATGGATGGATGGGATGGATGGATGGATGGATGGATGATGGATGGTTGGATGATGGATGTTGGATGATGGATGGATGATGGATGGAGGATGTGGTGATGGATGATGATGATGGATGATGGATGATGGATGGATGATGGGTGGATGGATGATGAGAAAGGATGGATGATGGATGGATGGATGGATGGATGGATGATGATGGATGGGATGGATGGATGATGGATGATGGATGGGATGGATGGATGGATGGATGGATGGATGGATGGAGGGATGGATGGATGGATGGATGGATGGATGGATGGATGATGGATGGATGATGGATGGATGGATGGATGGATGGATGATGGATGGAGGGATGGATGGATGGATGATGGATGATGGATGGATGGATGATGGATGGATGGATGATGATGGATGGATGATGGATGGATGGATGGATGGATGGATGGATGGATGATGGATGGATGATGGATGATGGATGGATGATGGATGGATGGATGGATGGATGGATGGATGATGGATGATGGATGATGGATGGATGGATGATGGATGGATGATGGATGGATGATGGATGATGGGATGGATGGATGGATGGATGATGGATGGATGGATGGATGGATGGATGGATGGATGATGGATGGATGATGGATGGATGATGGATGGATGGATGATGATGGATGGATGGATGGATGATGGATGGATGGATGGATGGATGGATGGATGATGGATGGATGATGGATGGATGGTATGGATGGATGGAGGGATGGATGATGGATGATGGATGGTGATGGATGATGGATGGATGATGATGGATGGATGGATGGCATGGATGGATGAGGATGA